ATATTTTCCCATGGTGAAAGATGCTCAGGTTGATTTGCGATATTTTATGAGATGTGAGTATTCAAATGGGGATAAATGATTCTTTTCAGTGAGCTTGTTGACTTTCCTTGATTCTGGGCCTAGCTAGAGTCCAGGGCTCATAACCTGTGGAGAGTCTAGTAAAGACTCAGTGGAAGTTAATGGAACAATGCTATATTAATAAGTACCTAGTAAAGACTAGGTTACATGTGAGTGGGTGTGTCAACTACACAGTACAAGATGAGCTCACCTCAGTGGAAGTTAATAGAACAATGCTGAGGTGAGAAAAGGTGCGAAGTGAGTACATATGGGTCTATGGAGGATCTGTGGCTGAGTGGCGAAGGTGCTGTACAGTACATAGTAAGAGGCAAGAACAATGACATGTTGGGAATGCGTGATTATGTCAACACTGGTGTCAAGGTTTGGTGATGCCAAGACTCAGCCACAGGCACATTCTTCAACTCTCACAATGTTATTTTTGACAAATCTTTCATTGGTTGCCCTTTTCCTGTCACTGACAGTGACGATGAAGATGATGAACCTGCTCATCCTACCAGTTCATCCATGCTGCCTGCTGCGCCACCTGCTGCTCAATGTCCTACTGCTGCTTAACAACCTCCCCCCATTGCACCAGTTCATCATTCTGGTTGTTCCCAGGTTCCTACTGAATGAGGATGTGTCTACCATGAGCAACTCACTGCTGATGCAGTGTGTTTGAATTGCCAGTGGGACCTACAGTAGGCCTGTATTCAGGGTATTCCTCCTGCAAACAATACCATGTCCATACCTCCAATCCCCATTTCCAATCAATCTGTTCTTCTTCCTGCACCATTGCATCCCCTAGCTAATGACAAAGTCATCAATGACAATGCCATTAATGCAGAGACCAAGACAGTAGGTTATCCCCACATTCTCGCCAACCTGATTGTTGCAGAGCAGGCATCCATCTCCATTCAGAGTGACACTTGTCATAATCCACAAGTTGCCAGATACAACATGAAGATCTCCCCAAACTTATATGACAAGGCCATGTGGCACTCTGATTGGAACTCTTGGCTTGCTGCAATGAAGAGGGAGATGAATTTGATGTCAGAGATGAACATCTATGAGCTTGTTCCTCTCCCTGCTGGTTGGAAGGCTATAGGTTATAGATGGGTGCTCGAGTTTCAGGAGAACCAGAAAGGTGGCTCAATCTTCAAAGCCAGACTTGTGGTGCACGGCTTCTCACAGGTTCTGGGCATTGACTTTGGAAAAACCTTTGCACCTGTTGCTAAGGCAGCCTCCATGTGCGTCATCTCCACACTTGCAGCATGGAATGACTGGGAACTTGACACCTTTGATGCAAAATGTGCCTTCCTGTGGGGAAAATTAACAGAGAACGTGTACATGCATCAACCACCTGGATTTGAACAGTTTTCCTCAGACAGTGGTGTCCTGATCTGTCACCTTTTGTCCTCACTCTATGGACTCAAACAGGCAGCCTATGATTGGTATGAGCTTTTGCAAGAAGTTCTTACTCACTTAGGTTTCCTCCAAGTTGCGGCTGACTATGCCATCTTCATATATGACCACATCAATGGAGAGGGAGAACAAATCATATGCATCATTGCCTGGCACATTGACAACGGCCTTGCAGCTGCCAGCAATAATCCCTTCCTCATCCATATGAAAGGTCAGATAGTGCAACACTTTGGCATCACTGACCTGGGTCCTGTATCAAAGCACCTGGGAATTCAGTTCAAGCACAACAGGACATTGCACAAGCTTTGGATGCATAAAATGGACTACATCACCTACCTTCTTGAGGAACATGGTATGATCAGTTGCAACTTGGTCACTCTTCCCATGCATCCTCACATTGAGAACCTTACCTCTGAATACTGAAAGCTAGTTGGAGAACTACTCTACCTCACAATATACACTCATCTGGATATTACTGTCACCGTCACAAAACTAGCTCAACATAACTGCTCACCTGAGCTTCATCACTATGCCTCAGCTAAACATGTCCTCTGATTTCTTGCTGGTACCATCAGTTTACACACGCACTATGGGGGTGCTATTGTGAACCCAGAACTACATGGGTTCAGCAACTCAGATTGGGCTAGTTGTCCCAAGGACCATATCTCCATATCTGGCTATGTTTGGTTTTTCAATGGCGGACCTGTATCTCACTCTTCAAAGAAACAACTTACGCATGCACTGTTCTCCACAGAAGCAGAGTACATGGCCCTTACAGCTGCCATCCAAGATGGTCTTTGGTTCACATCCTTCTTCAAGTGCTTGAGAATACCCCTCACCCTACCACTTTGCTTATTTGCTGATAATGCAGGTGCCATCACATTGTCTGAAGAGGCCACAAACCACATTTGCACCAAACATATAGACCTCCAATATCATTTCATCCACATCCACATTGAAGAAGGCACTTTCAAACCAGAATGGTTATCCACTCACAAAAATGTTGCTGACATCTTTACCAAGAGTCTTCCCCACCTGCTGTTCATTTGTTACCAATCTGGTCTCTCTCTCATTTCTCACTAGATTGCAACAACGTCTTGTTGTGGGGGTATATTGAGTATTCATTATCATTGTCATCGGTATCATTGAATGCATAACACTTTCCTTTTCTGTTCTCTATTTATTATGTGTAACAACATATATAATATGCACCATCTTGTTTCTTCATACCTCAGTTGTTGTCTCCAAACACTGAGGTATGGTTCATTGTCTCTCATCGTCCTGCTGTGTCTTACTATATCCTCCTAGTGTGTTTCATATCCTAGCTTCTAACACTGCACACCATACCATATATGGTAGATGGCCATATACATATGGTATAAATATGATATACAGCTAACCCATACACCATACATGACATTGGTGGTGGATAAAGTGGATGGTATGGTATGGAGTATTATATGGATATATATGGTGGTGTATGGTACATATGGAATGTAAATCAATTATGAATGAGGTTGTTTGGTATAAAACAACCCAAACAAAGCCTCACCTTCATGAGCATCAATGTCCTGATAGTCTCAGGCTTGAGACTTGTGCACTGCAGTGAAACCATGTCACAACCACCAGAGAAAACTCATTCAACAGCAACAGCAGATCCTACAAAGAAGAGAACTAAGTACAGACACCTGGAACATGGAGTAAGTACTCACTAGGTATTGAAAGGATATCATGTGCAAGTCAAGAGAAGTTTGGAAACTGTGCTTGGTGACCTGCCCACCATTGAATTGGGTTGCAAAGGTCAAAGTCTTCTTGTGGAAGCTTCAGATACTCCTCAAATTCATCCACTGACAGATTTGATTGCTTCTTGTACCTTGCTGTAAAGTTCACCTTTGATAGGGACCTTCTGCCATCTGACACATCTGTATGGCAGCCTGTGCTGGTAGATGGTGCACAGTCCTGTGCAAGGGATGTAGTGATATAGTCAGCTTTATACAGGGCATGTAGGTCATTCTTTAGTGAGTCAATTTGCAACCATGTACTTTCATCATTGGCAGCACAGTCATTATGGAGACCTTCATAAGTGATGTGGGGATCAAGTACTTGAACTAGATTAGCTATCAAACTAGAAATATAAATTGTAGTACAAAACTTACTTGAAGCCCAGACATAGTATGGTAGGGATCATCACAGGTAAACCCGTGGGTGTCCTGAGGTCAACCTGTACCCATACCCGCCATGGGTGTGAGTATGGATACAGGTCATGGCGGGTACATACCCATGGTAGGTGTACCTGCAGGAGAGAACAAGACAGGGAGGACGAGACTGACAAGACAGGGAGAATGAGATGAGATGGGGAGAACAAGACCAATAAGACCAACAAGACTGACAAAACCAACAAGACTCACAAGACCAACAAGACAGGGAGAACAAGATGAGATGGAGAGAACAAGAATGATGAGACCATTGAGACTGTCAAGATGGGGAGAATGAGACCAATGAGATAGAGAGAACAAGACCAACAAAACAGGGAGAATGAGACCAAGAGAATAAGACTAACAAGACAGGAAGAACGAGAATAACAAGACAGGGAGAACAAGACTGACAAGACAAGAAGGACAAGGTAGTTAGCAGTATGAAACATACAGCACACATACCTTGGAGAGCAGGAAACAGATGGGATAAGACTAGAGTGACAGATAGCAGACTGCTGCACAGATGACAATGAGTGATGAAAGCATGACTGCAACTTGGAAAAGAGTTAGAATTAGTAGCATTGGTACAATTGGTGCAGAAATGGTACTTGAACAAACATCAAAATAATTACTATATATGGAAGTGATGGGTATGTGGTGGGTCATGGGTCTCAAAATCCAGACCCATACCTGTACCCACTGGTACCCATATCCATACCCATGACAATCCCTATAGTATGGTGAGTCATTGATCTTGAAGAAGTAGTCACTGAGCTTCTGATGTGCATTGATCAATGCCAGTTGTGTTTTCACTGGTGCTGAATCCAGAAGGTTTGCTAAATCATCCTGAAGTGAATTCCTTGAGACCTTGAAATATAGCATGAGCCGAAGATAGCATTGGGCACTTAGACATTGACATTTGAGTAGTAGCTGACTGGAATGCCTTCAGCCACCCTGTTACTAGTGCAATTGACTGCCAATCATCATCAGAAAGTTCATATTGGTGTAGTTTACACATCTTCATCACAAAGTTGTTGATAGCTTTTTGAAAATCCAATGTACAGACAACTACTTCATCATTATTTGCAGCTACTTCAATGTCGTTCGCTTCCTTCACAAATGTTTCTAGCCCAAACTATTCACAGTACTCATTGTAGGCATGCTGGTCTTCAAATTTGCTAATGGATGTCTTGATATTTGCCTCACCAAAAATATCACATCCATTGCTGACCAACCTATCTGAACATCAGTATCAAGTATCTGAATGGATAAAAAAGACATACAGATGAGTCAGGCTCTGAGGATCTGTGAGTAGTGCTGTACTACCTAAATACATTGTGTTATTCCATCTGCAGTACTGAGGATTGAATATGTCACTGAATCAGACATACCTTGATAGTCAGATATGAAAACTAGCTTGCCAGTCTTGATGTACTGGACATGCTGTGTGAAAACCAAAAATTCTGCCATGTCATAGCCATAGTCCAATTCATTGAGCAATGGATTGATGTCCATATTGTGGATGAATTTGACAAACATATCATCACTGCCCTCAATGAGCTCTTCAAGGAGAAAAACAGCCTATGTTGACCCTGTCTTCACTCCAGGCTTGCTACCACCCTGGTTGTGGCACAATGCAAGGCCGGCTTCTACAAGTTGAACACATGGGACCATGAATGGTGGGGGTTCAGGTGAGGATGTAATAGAATGATCAACAAAGTTGTATGTGAGCTTTAATAAGGATTTAGACCAGTATAAGATGTTGGCCTCTCTGAATAATTTCTGTAGCTCATCAATGAGCAAATACCAGCTGACTTTATAAGGTCCAGCCTTCACAGTAGTCAGAAATACTTTTTTGAATGGACATTTGACCATGACCTTATGATAAGCAACTGATCTAAGACCAGTCCTGGGAGGAGCTGTGAGTGTCAGCCATCCAGCATTCACAGTCTTGAAGCCACCAATTCCAATGAAGCCCTCTGTCAATGTATTAATAGTCAGCTGTCCAATGGAAGATTCAGCTGTGTTCACTGAAAATAAGATATCACAGGTAGGGATTTGGTGGAATTACACACTTTCACTATGTAGTTCAAAGACTGTAAAATACTAGTAAGTGCTGATGCAATATGAGAAATTGATGAATGTGCATACCTTGCTTTAAATTTAAGTTGGCACCCCTGCCAATCTTCAAGACTTCTTTGAGTAGATCATGATCAGGTGAACAAAAAGCTGTGGAAGGTGGGTTCTTTCAAGGTGAAGATGAAGTACCACTGAGACTGCTAGAGCTTTCAGACACTGGTGGGTTCTTTTGGTAGAGACTGTCACAGAATTGTCAGTGGTCATGGACGGTAAGAAAAGCTTGTTCTCAGTAAGTGAAGTTGTCACTGATGAGGGCACATTGCAACTGATGGCTGTATGAGCAGTGGCATGTTTGCTAGACTGAGTGCAACTTGTTCGGATAGCTTCAGCTTCCTGGACCACAAAATTATAGTTAGGGCACTAGTGGTAAATAGACTCAAAAATGCATACCATTTCTGCACAAAGTTCCAGCCAATTCTCATATTCATTCCACTGAACCTTCAGGACAACAACCATCAGCACAAATTGTTTAGACTTGAAAGTTGATTTGGTGCCTTTGTGAGATGGTTGCAGGCATTGATCATAGAAATATGGAACCAATTGTGAGTGATTGGACAGGTCCACCCATGCAGCATCTTGGATCACAAACTCCTCAACACACCAGATAAATTCTCCACTGAATTTGCATAACTTTGGGACAAGTCTCCAAAGCTAGCTTGATGAGCCCAGACATGTCAATTTGAGCATTGATGTCCTTCTTACCTTTAAATATATTCTAGTAAGCTGAAGCGTAAGGAAGTCACAGCACATTTTAAGATGTAAATGTATTCCAATAGTGATACCTTGTTTTTTGCAAGCTCTGGAACCTTCATGAACCATGGTAATTTTGAGCAAAATAGTCTGTGCTAGAGATAAAGCACATGCAATTTTCCCCCAGCAGTCACACTCAGTAGCATACAGTGCATGTTGTGATGAATACCTGATGGCACCTGCTGTAAATGTTGATGAACCTTGCCATGATGTAGGAATTCTAATATCTGGCCCTCTAGCACGAGAGCTGCCAAGTATGACAACCACAGGAGGCAGATTAGGTGTTAACCTTCATTGCACTGCATTCACTGATTGTTGTATTGTACATGGATCAGGAGGGACACAGCCTTGCAATTGTAAGGTTTTACTACCTGAGTCAGTAGTTCATAAGCTAGCAACTCATCAATTGAATGGTGATTGCATGCCAGTAGGTCTCACTAAAGTAGCTCATTTATTCTCATAATGCAAGTGGCAGGATTTGCACACATAGTGCCCACATTGACCTGGCTCAATTGTTGCAACATAAAAACATGGCTCTCCAGTCCTAATATTAGCCATACAAGATGGACAGTCACAAATTTGGTCTTCTTTGGCATAGGCATCCTTGGTGTAATGGGTGAGAAGTTTGTAGTCTGACATGGTGCTCTGAAGGTAGCCTCTAGGTGCATACTGTACAGCTTAAATATCTCATGACCTGGAGATTTATGGTCCAGCACATTGGGTGGTGATAAGCACTTGAGGAAAGTCTGTATCTTCACCATCTTACATATCATGATAAGCATGTCTGAATAAGCATGGACTGGAAAACAGTGATGATAGAGAATCATGAGGAACTGGTGCCTCTAGAGACACTAAGGAGCAGTTTGAAAGAGTTAGATAGAGACTCACGAGGAACTGGCATCTCCAGAGACACTATGAGGCAATCTGAAAGAGTTGCATCTGAAATGCACAGCCCAAGAATGCTTTGGACTGCAGGCAACATTTCTGAGTTCAATTAGTGGTAGTTGTAAACCCTAACTCACTGAGAATCAGAATATTCAGAATGTCCAGCCTGAGCTTGAAGGTATAAGATTTACAATACAAGTCTAGCATATCCAGCCCAAGAATGCCTTGGACTGTGGACAGGGATTCTAAGTTCAATTAGTAGTAGTTGTGAACTCTAACTCACTAAGAATGCTTTGACCATGGACAAGGAAGTGAAGTGAAGTCCAGAACACTTGGTAGGTAGTTACTGAACTTGACTTAGGAAAATGCGAGGTACAAGCAGGCCATTAGTGGGATGAGTGGCACAAGTCTGGGCATAAATTCCGTGAATTCCCATGTTGCTGCAGCATGAACTTCTCAGGGACCACTGAACTAGGTAAGTCCAAAGCAAGTTACCAAGTTAAGTCTATTTGTTTATACACAATAAACAAACTCATACTTACATTATATTACAGCCATAGTATTATGGCAACATACAGGCCCCTGATACCCATCCCCTGTAACTGTCAACTGAAGGTCTAAACAGCCAACAGCATGGGTATGGTGACCATATTACAGCCCTGTAAAGTCCTGTCATATGGCATATGGCAAATAGCCCTAGTTACACCTTCTATGTTATCATCCAAGGGAATGTCAAGTCTGTCAACATCATGGATGCTGAAGTTGATTTTGAATATTTATTCATGTAGTGATGTGCATGACACATCCAACTCCAAATCAATAACAACAATATTAATTGATTCAGTGTAGGGGAAGGATTTGAACTTTCAGCTGCAGATTGCAAATGGATGACTTTCCATAGGCTGAAATATTCTAATTAGAACATCATATCATATATATACCTGTATTAGGCAGGTGTGCCATGATGCCACTGTTCATTTCCAGTCAGTTCAAAACCATGTGTCATCTACCCCCCCCCCCCCCCCCAATAGACTTTATAGACAACTTGCTTCCATTTTGGGCCACTAACACTAGTGATATCTGTTTGGGGGCAGTCAGGGTTGGCAAAGGTACAAATGATGTGGGTGCTGAGTGTCAACATGCTCTTGTCATGATATCTTGGTCCCTGCAATAACAGTGGCAGCAAGAACCTGAATTCTTTCATCATCATCAAAAAGCTCAGCCTCATCTTCATCAAGAAGGAGCTGCTGGATTGTAAGGCTGTCATCCATCAAGGACCTAGACTAGATTTAATTGAATGAGCATACAGCAGAGTATTTCAGTATAGATTAACATATCATCACTTTGGTTATTATTTTTGAGACTCCAGTATATTCTAATCAGAATATTTTAGCCTATGGAAAGTCATCCAATCTCAGCCCAAAATCAAGTGCTTGGAAACATATCACACAAAAAGTACACAAATGTCACTCCCAGATGCATATCAGCAAGATATTCAGTGATCCAGAAGTCACTTTGTTTTTCCCACTGTCGACAGACATAATCCCATGTGATCCATCAAAACCAAGTTGAAGTGCTGCATTACTCCGATCAAAATGTCACACTAAAATGCCTTGCATGACTTATCTGAGTTGAACTACTATTACCACTAAATCAGCCTATATCCGAATCTTCTAATGTCATCAACATCACTTCCTGACAGTTTCGGCTCTCCTCATGCGGGTAACATGGTAAAACCTGATAATTGTGCAAATGTAGAGAACGCCGGACGCAAACAAGAGTTGATGTCATATTTGGTGCAGCAGTCTCCTTGTTTCATTTAGCCGCAAGCACTGAATGGGGTTTGTCAGATGGCGCTTGATGGAATCAAATTGGAAGAAGATGGAGAGGATCAGTTATTTACCCAACATAGCATTGACACGGTATATTTCAGCTATGCCACAGCGCACAATCGCATTCTGCAGTACACCCAACTCCTGACACTTCTCAAGTGGGAGGAAAATTTATGGGCACAGAGAGTTGAGAGGGCAAAAGGTGTTATGCCGGAATACAAGCCTGCATGGTGGTCACTTTGGTCACAAGATTGAGTTTGTATTGGTTAGCAATTTTAACCATCAGCCTGTTGCAGCAAATTTTTCTAGTGTCTTAGCAAGAACTTCTTTGATTGCTCTATTCAACTTGTTGTAGATGTCATTAATATGTAGCGTGGAATGTCTTGATAGTCACCCTAAACCTACTTGATGAGATGTTAGAGGAACGTGTACAATGTGTTCCAGCCCACTAGTAATATTGGAAAAGTCCAGTTTTGAAGTTCTCATAGTACTTGACAAATATGGCAAATACCTAAATAAAGGATGTTCATCAGTGAGTGACTAGTGACTCGGTGTGATGACCTACAAGTGGCTTTACTAAAGTAATTGGAGGCAGGTTTCCTATCTCTCACTCAGGCTAGTATTGGCCCAGGAATGCATCTACCTCGACCACCTTCAAGTTCAAGTTGGGTTCTGATCTTCATCTTCATCTTTTTAATGGTGTCTTGTGGTGCATTGTGTTGCGCTTGGGAGAGGAATACAGATTTTCGTGGACTTAGCAGGCATTGGTCGACATGCAAATATTACCAGAAGGCAAGCACATTAGCCACACAGAAAAGACAGGACTGGGCCTGAGAGTCGACATTGCAAAATTTGACCTCTCAGTTCACTGCAGCTAGTATTACTACTACTAGTAGTAATCCTGTAAGTCGCTACCAACTTGTTTATTTACAGACAGTTATAATCCAATCATCTCACATATCTTCCCATCCTTCATAGCTCAAACCGATCCGATTTACGAAGACACACCACTTGAAACCCATCGCTTCATGTGAACCTAAGGCATTCTGTGTGCCACCCGAGCATATCAAGCTAGACCAGAGTGCTGCTTGCACTAGTGCCCCGACTTTTGCATTTGACCATGGTTGGTCAGATTCAGATGTTGCAATGGGGGATGCCACAAAACAAGATCATGATATTCCAGGTGCGCACCTCTATGACATTCTATCGTTGTAACAGCATTCATAGATCCCACCCAGGCAACCTTCCTGCGCATCGCATACATAGGCTAGTCCCACGAAATTTTGACAATCTTTTACCTGCCAATGAAGACATCAACACATCTGATTCTTCTAAGAATGACCCGTTTCCTGTTACCGAGGCTCAGAATCAGCCACTATGCAGAATTCAAAGAGTCCTTTTGACTCTGCGGGATTCTCTTCAAACAGTGTTTTGCATGATCAGACTCTGTCGACAATATCCTAGACGGCCCTCATTCGAGCCCGACAGATTTGTTCCATCTGCACTACTATCCAAATCCTGTCCAATGGTTCCTAATGCGCATAATACCCAGACTGATTCACCTCACAGGGTCTCTGAACTACCATTTCCTTTCCCTAATATGACTATCTACCGTCTTATGACATGGATGAATTCCAGCAGCAATCAGAAATTGGAAATGGAAGTAATGCACCTGGTTAAAGATGTGATTCATGCAGAAGACTTCAATCCCAGGGACCTGGATGGATTTTCGGTGAGAAGATGTTTACACGCATTGGACAATCACGGAGAGCATGGGGCTGTCACTTTTCCAGATGACTGGGTGGAGTTGGATATTACCCTTGACATACTGACAAAGTCAAAAGACGATCCGTCCAGGTCATTTAGCATCCCGGGATTTCATTATCGGCCACTTGTAGCCATGATTTGTTCCGCATTTGCTGACATTCAAGCTAGTGCATTCCATCTTTTTCCCTTCAAGTGCTTGTGGAAAGACCTGCTGGATGATCATCAAGAATGTGTGTTTGATGAGCTGTATTCTTCTGACTCTTGGCTAGAAGCTCAGGAGGAACTGCAAAGGCAGCTGAGAGAACCTGGCTGCTCACTCAAGTGCATGATCGCTGGACTCATGTTATTTTCCGACTCAACTCATCTAGCAAATTTCGGAATGGCCAAGGCTTGGCCCCTTTACTTATATTTTGGAAATTTGATGAAGTACACACGCTCAGCACCTAAATCTGGTGCTTGCCATCTTGTTGGCTTTTTACCTTCCATAGGTGAATTGCATCTCATCTCATACATCTCTCACGTTAGATCTTTAGCTTCCAGACAATGTCAAGGATGTCCTTAGCACCTTACCTCAGATATCAAAAAGTGGCATGGCAGTGCTTCATGTGCATTGCCGGCAAGACTTGTTCCATGCATGTTGGAAACATTTACTTGATGCAGACTTTCTTCAAGCATACCGCCATGGAATAGTACTCCAGTGTCCGGATGGCATATTGAGAAGGGTATTCCTGCGTGTCTTCACATATTCGGCTGATTATCTGGAGAAGTGTGCTTTTTTTATTCATTGCCTTATGATACTAATCAACATTTCAGAGTTTTAATAGCGACGATAAAGGACATGGGCTCATGCCCATGTCCACGCTGTCTCATTCCAAAGGCCTCTTTTGATCTCCTTGGTCTGTTTGGAGACATGCAAGATCGCCTAGTTAACGTTCAGACTTACTGTCTAGTGGAAGTAACCAAGGCCCATGGATTTATCTATACATTCAGAAATACGGTTGATGGTTCAAAGGTACAGAAGGCTCTTGGAGAAGGGTCATGGGTTCCAACCGTGGTGAGTGCCTTCAGAATCAATTCCTGTTCGATGCACACCTGATTTTCATTTAGAATGCATTTGCAGAAAACTTGGGCCTTTAGGACTCGACACATTTCACATGCTTGTTATTGATTTCATGCACGAATGCGAACTAGGTACATGGAAAGTGTTGTTTACACATCTCATTCGTTTACCTTACGTGCTTCCTGGTGGTGACGGCCTGGTCGCATGTCTTAACAACTGGTTTGTTGCACATCATTTTCCTTCGCAATTTGAACATGATCGTGATTAAATATAGATTTCGACATATTCCGTCATATGGTAATGGAGTCATTCGCAAATTTGCGAATAATACTTCAGAAATGAAAAAACTCGCAGCACGGGACTTCGAGGACATTTTACAGGTTTGTGATGCTGGTTAAGTTGCCAATGTGCATGGTTAACATTCTGTCTCAGTGTGCTATGCCTGTCTTTGAAGGGCTGTTCCCAGAAGATCACAATAAAATTGTACAGTCACTTTTGTACAGGTTTGCACAATGGCACGCCCTCACCAAACTAAGGATACATTCCGAAACTACCTTGTCAGTTTTGGATTCAATGTTCATGAGACTCGCTTGTCAGTTGTGCCACTTCCGAGATTTCACCTGCGCTGTTTTCACCACAGTTGAATTACCAAAGGAAAAAGCTGCTCATGAACATAAGGCTGCATGTCAAGGATTGGATTCCAACAATCGAGATCCATCAAGTGGCAGTCAAAAGGTCAAGAAATTCAATATGAATACTTACAAATATCACGCCATGGGGGATTATCTGCAATCAATCTGGCTCTTTGGAACAATAGACTCATTTACTTTGCAAATCGTATGTGACTCTTTGAATGTCTTCCGATCTCAATTTGATTTTCAACTAGGGAGAACTGGCACATAGAGCACTGAAAGCTTTCTACCCATTGACAAGTAAACTAGATACACCGGCTCAACTTGCTAAGCATGAGCGTTGTCGTCGCATTCTTCGACGACTGGCAGAGACAGATCATAACTGCAAGCAGGTACCGGTTGAGTTGCCAGGGTTTAAAAATCACCACTATATTCCGAAGCTCAACCACAATAACCTGATACATATTTTTGCTTTCCTTCATGAGCATGGTGATGATCCAGCTGTAGCAGTAAGTGCTACTCTCTTCATTTATCATCTTGCTCACAATAACGTGTAGGCGTTCATACCGAAGCTCAAGGATCATATCCTATATTGACTTCAACAGTTAGATGTGAGCCATTGTGATCATACTTTCATGGACGACAAACGCAATTCGGTTATCATCTCGGACAACAGGCTATATTCTGTCCAAACCATGCAGGTATGTTATTCGTGCTAACATTTTTGCTACTGTATGACCCTTTAATCTCACAGGTCCATTACATGACTTATGACCTTCGACAAGAGCATGATACTATTAACCCTTGAACACACTCTGACATCATGGTATTATCTGGGGAAATGAGGCCCCAGCATCCATACTGGTATGCATGGGTACTGGGAATCTATCACATGGACATATTGCTCAACATTGAAGGCCCATTCAAAAAAACATCAAATCAAGGTCCTTTATGTTAGATGGTTGGCACCTCTGACTGGCCACCACTCAGGGATGAATTGTGCTCGACTTCCCAAAATTGCGTTCGTTGAGGACACTGATAGCGATGCATTCAGGTTTCTTGATCCCACTCAAGTCATCCGAGGTGCGCATTTGATTCCAGTGTTTTCTTCTGGGCGCAGAACCACCTCCCTTTGTCATGGGAAATCTTTTGCACATCAATGTGGCGAATTAGATGATTGAGAAGTTTACTGTGTTGGAATGTAAGTGCGATCTCCTAGCCTGTTTTTCTTATTTGAACTGTAAACTTCTCAGATTCATCAACTGCGATATGTTTATGTGCTACACGCACTACGGGATTGGTCATCCTACCGCCCTCCAGAAGCTGACAAAAGATTGTGCTGATGCAGAGCTTGCAGATAGCCCAGAATCAGAGGAAGATCAGACCAACGAAGACTGGGAAAGCGATCCTCAACCTTGCGAGGGCAACAGTGAGAGGGAGAGATGCGATGATGATGGAGGAGAGGAGGTACAAGAAGATGTAGATGATGATCAAGAAGACTTCGAACAGGATGACAACTCGGAAGAGTTGAGTGTAAATGATCCAGGTGACGTCCCAGATGACGTTGCAGACAAGGACAATGACCATGTGTATTTTTAAATAGTCCGTCCTTAATGTTTGTTTTCAATCTACCTCTTGATTATCACTGCATTTCAGTTGATGATGGTTCACATGCAGCAACGTCAGATTTGGTTTGATTGAGAGACTCAGTGTTAATGATAGCCGATATGAACCCACCCACATTATGGAGGGGAATGCAGTGAACGGTAGTTCAGCTGATCTGCCTAATGCATGCAAGCACTGTTGCTTGTTTGTTTGTTTGCTCTAACCAAACAAGTTCAAGTTGAGCTGCATCAGTGCATCATTATCATCATGTTCCTCAGATGGTTTATCCTTCAAATTCAAATTTTGTGTCAGTCTGGATGGGTGAGTATGGGATGGATGCAAGTGCTCCTGAACTTATTTTTTTGTTCTAGACTCAGACTAGTTATCTTTCTCCGATGATTATAATTATGAGTTTCATTTTTGCTTGTGCATGCAGCTTATGCGGCCGCAATGGCCGTTTTGCAAGGGACCGAATGTAGGTGTTTATTCTTTATCTGTGTCTGGGCCTCTTGAAGTGATCTGATGGGCGTTGTACATGCTGTGCCCACATGTCAACATTGCACATGAAAACATGGCACAGGCAAGGTGAGCAACCTTGCCTTGACAATGGAGTGCATGTTTAATTTTGTCTTATCAGCATGCCAGCGCATGCTACTGGTGGAGCTTCCCGTTGGTGTCCAGAGTCATATGCTCCACCACCCCACTCCCAGGTCAACCTCTGCATCACACTGCATGTCAAAACCCTCTAACTATTCCACGAACTGATCTTTTGTATCAGATTATACTCATTGCTGAACCAGTACCCAAGCTCGCAGGCCCAGCAACTCCCAAATCCCTAGAACCAGCAGACACAGCTGTCCCAGGAGGCTGGACAGCAGCTTCTAGGCTGGTGCCCACTGACGCAGATGCGTCTAAGACATGCCCTAGTATGCTGGATCCATATGCATGTGGTGTATCTTTCATTCTGTATGGTGTGAGGCATCCATGAAACCCTTCAGTGGTGTCAATGGACTGTCGTTCTTTAAGCTGGCCAGAAGCTTGCAACTCAAATTTATCACGACCCTCATCATGCTCAAGCCAAGATGAAGGACAACTTTGATCAGTATATCTTTTACTTGCACATGTACCTCAGAGTAAAGTGTTCCTCACAGGAGTTGCATGGGGATGCTGAGACTTCGATAAGATCTAGAATGACTTGCTAACTTCGGGTCTCATGCTCATGGCCCCCGTCTCAGCACACCCTCCCCGATGCACTGCACTCATGTCCCTAACCAAGAATGTCAGGTGAAGTTCAGTGCATGCTGGAGTTCACCCCAGCGAAATTGTGATTGCCATTATTAAACTGGTGGGTAATTTACATTGAGTTCTCACCTATCTTGTCTTACCTGAAGCCCATCAGGTGCATGCCACAGGAGGCTGATGGCATTGGGCATCGCGGTCCAGAGGTGCATGCAATGTGCAGTTTATGCTGCTTCATTCTGTTAACCTGCCTCGTTTCTATAGTACTTAGACACCTGGGACACCATCGTGGCAAGGCTGTGCACCCAGGCGAACTTGAATGTCCCCAGTGGTATGTAGCTCTCCTGGAGTCTACTTGCTTAGTGATGCTGGTCTTCATTTTTATCCAGCCATTGTCCATGCTGGCCTCTTCATGGACGAGCATCTGATGTAGTGATATTTGAAACAGTTGAGTAGTTCAACTTCTCGCATATCACACATATCAAGTGCCAAATTCATTTTACAGGTGCCGCTATGTACATGTGATAGTCAATCGCTTATTTGAACAAGTTGCAATGATTATTCTGAAATTTTGGACTCAACAGATGAGCAGTGAGTAATCATAGTCTGTAGATAATCCATGGGATAATACAGAACTTCAAGCTTCAACAGCAGGGCCAAGTGACATTTGAGCAAAAAAGATAACGATAATACAGAATTTATGAATTAATACAGATGGCTATCATACACATTGTATCTGCGAGCTGCAATCAGTATGGTAGAAATAGCACTGTAGGTTATGTGTACTAGCCTCCGGAGTAGTGCTAGTGGTACAAGTTGAAACTTTTGCTATGTGTTGGCAGTGAGCTTAAGAAGGTCCTGAAAACCCTTGGAAGCTTAGATCAAAATGAGCAAGAACTCAACCAATGTTGAAGGGAATGCATTGCCACCTCTTGCCTGCTGTGATGGCAGGATGTCACAATGATATTGCGAACTGCAAAGCTTTTCTGGATCTTTGGTAAGTGGCGAGGGAAACTTCCCACAGAAGGTCTTGAATAGCATCTCAGTTTGAAACACAGATCAGACAGAACAAAAATTGTCAACAAGGTTGAGGGTAGTACACTATCACCTCCTGCCCCCCTACGGTCACGGTATCTCCTAATATTGTTATAAAGTGCCATGGTTTTATAGATCTGTTACTGAGTGCCAAAGGCACCTCTCACTGAAAGGTCTTGAATGGTCTCGTAATTCAAAATATAAATGAGGTAAAACGACAATGCTCAAAAAAGTTGGCATATTTATGATACTACCCCTCACTGGCTACAGTGAGTGACCATCAGAACATTGTCATGGTTTGCTGAAGTTATTCTAGATTTGCATTCGTCGATGGCTATGTATCAATAACTAACATTTCTGACAGCATAAATGGTCATGTTTAGCAGGAGCAAAATTATATTTTTCTATAGTTACCACAGCCACAATATCAAGGACTCATCGATTTACTGATGGTTCTGTTTGAATGTCAATGACGTACTTTGTTTTCACATGCCAAGCCAAACTCGAGCAGCACGTCCATACGTGTTACTAGGACATGGGCCACAGCAGGCTGCTTGGCTTTTATCTTAGTAACACGTTTGACAAGATGATTTATATCTGAGAAGACACGATTAGCAGAATATGCACTCACGCTGATCCAGTTCAACGAGGATCACATCGGCCTCACCTCGGTCAAGCACTTCTTGGGCAATCTTGACATTGGTCATTGAGCCAACAAATGATAAGCTCCAGGAACCGTATCAGCGAAGTTGACGTCCATCATATAGAGTACACTGCCAGGCCTTCACATCACACATCCCTACAGCGGGAGCAGATCATTCCCATGATAGTCATTCAGAACATATCCATCTCAGACCCCAACATGCCCACTGAAGTGTGTCAGTGGTCCTGCCCAGTTTCATTCATCTCAATATTGACCGCCCACAAGGGTTGTGTAGGTCCCGTTAGTTTCAATTCTTGTTTTTTTGGTGGTGCAGACTGATGAATGGCCTAACATTTGCTTCTGTGCGTGATTGTTATTTGACGCACGCTAGTAGCATCGACAAGATGTATCAGAGCATCCCAGACACCTTCATCACGCTGCATTCCTAGGATGTCCTCAAGAAATTAGCTATGGAGGTACATGCTATTCCCCATACTAATCAATTGCAATTCTCAAGTCCTAGTCACAGTTCCAGACCCGATACACATCCCAAAATGTTCCGCCATGCAGCACTTGCTAAAGAACCTCCAAGCTGCAAGTGTAGGTATCATCACTTTGTGTGAACAGGTAGCTGCACCTTATGAAGGCAGGTTCACGTGTTTTGACAGCATCGTCGACTTTTCAGATGTAGAAGCGGGCTCCATTGCTCAAACTTTTCAGAAACGGAGGCGCAGCTTTGACAAGTCGTCATAAACCATCCCAGGTACCTTCATAGTGCTGCATTTCCCTGGACGTCCTTGAGAAATTGGCTACAGAGGTATGTATCATTCATACTACTCGACCACACCACTGAAATCCTCGTCGCAGTTCTGGACCCGATGCGTGTTCAACAATTCTCTCACATTGCTTTGCAGCGGCCAGCTGCTGACGAACCTCCAAGCCGCAGCCCTACGTGTCATAGCTTCGTCTGAACACACAACTATGCTCTGTGAAGGTGAGTTCATGTCCTTTGACAGCATTATCGGTATCTCACTTGTAGAAACCCCATCTATCTGGACTTCCAGGAAACGGAGGCCGAGACTGCGAAGCCTACGCCACGGAAATGCAGACAGCTTATCAAGAACTGACCATCTTGAAAGGCAGAATGATGTGGTGCATGAGGAAGGAGATGAACATGGCGCGGGCGAGGATAGCACTGATTCACTTCTGGTGGACAAATCCATTGATTACAATGCTATTCTTTACACCTCCACCAAAGAAGGGCGATTGTGATACAGGGATGAATGGTTTTCAATAAATCTGTGTTTATCGTCCTGTCTTTGTCTTCCTGTGCATATCAATCAAAGGATGTGACTGGGCAGCCGAGCACAGAATCTTGTTAGTGACAGTGTCTAGTTTTAACGTCATGGAACAACCTTCCATGCTGGTCTCCCGAATATTTGCATCTCATGCCTGTTGTTCCTCAGGCCTCATCGATGCATCCCTGACATATGTTGCCCAAGTCAGAGATGACTGATGATTCAATATTGATTTCATTCAGGTCTTGATACTTCCCACTTCCACACATGCATTGCCCTATGACTTTCCATGAGTCCAGGATTCTAACACATGAGTCATAATTACGGGGCCAATAGTTGTTGACTGAAGCTCTCCAGCATACTGCTGGCTGCAGTCCTCAACTCCTTCACAGCAATGATGATACCCTCTCCCTGCTCCAAATCTTGCATCCCCAGTCCTATTTCCAGTCCCATCTCCTGCTGTTCTCTCTATCACACATAAACAGAGATGACTAGCCTTTGCCTTAGCCCATCAGAATTGGATTACATGGACTGGAAGCATGTTATATGATCATATAAGACCACAATAAATAGGATTGGGTCAGATGGCAAGGTATATACTGTCGAGATATGCACCTAGGTTTGTCACACCATCACACGCCTGGTGAATCGAACCTATTTTTCATAATGGTCACACCAATTTTGAGGCTGTTGAACCTAAATTGTGACAAGTGGTAAAAACGCAAAAAAAAACATCTAATGCATCCAAAAGTCTTTGTACTGAGTGTTCGCAACACATCTGCACTTGCCACAGCCCTCAGCCTCAACCTCCGTAGACCCATCAGCCATAGATTGAAGCCCTGTCATGTCATCCAGTACCCCTTGCTCATAGCTCTCTGACTCATTATCCACCAGCAAATTACCCAAATCATCAGTGCTATAGCCATGAGGGACAGATGATTCACCTAATGCAATGTGTTGCAGAACCGTATCCACCAAAACATCGCTAGGATCAAGCTCAACATCTGCAGCATGCATGAAAGGTGGCTCTACTTCTTTGTTGGCTTTGGGAGTCTTATATTGAGCCGTTTTGATGCGTTCCCAAGTCATGGTGTCGTTTTTTTGCACATCACATAGTGCATGAAGCGCTTCATGACTGGTGAGGCTCTTGAACAAGAGATTGAATGTTGTGCCAGCCTTACACTGAAAAAACGACTGCAGGAGTGTTTTAACATCAGTAAGTAAAATGAGGACAATGTGAGTGACATACCTGTTTGACCACATCAGGCTTGTTGATAGCATGGTAACCGTTGATGAGCCACTGTAAAGATCTATCACGGAGTGTGGGTAATGTTGTGTCGAGTCAGATGACATGTGCAGCTTCATCTTTCTTCAGCAACAACAAAGATTCCTCAATGATATCAGCATGTTGAGATCACTTGATGGCAAGCTTGAATGGGCATTGGACGCCAACGTCACATGGCTGAGCAATTCCGGTGCAGCCACCAGGAACAAAGCAGTACTTGATCCATGGGTACTGCTGATCAAGCCAAGTGTGAAACTGCACGGACTTGTGTACTGACCAAACATCCAGCTGTAGGATACATTCCTGGTCATCAGGAGCCCCAATGAGCTCCTTCTGTCTTGTCCAGTAGGGAACTAGAATATTGTGAACATAATCACACATGAGCTGGAATGTGGACCAATAGGTATCAGTATTGGAGAAGCACAGCTCAAAGCCCAAGTCTTGTGCGTCCTTGAATCGTGGTGTGGTTTTTGAGGGGAGCAAACGAGCAGTTTTGCCACAATAGATGACCTGGAATGGAAGAGCATCCCCAGAGGCAGAGATGCCAACGAGCACAGTGAATGCTTGTTTTTCTTCCTGTCCAATCACTGCGACTTGCTTGGAACCAACTTCCTTGTAAGTAGTGGTGTTCGCAGGTTGATACACGATGTTGGTCTGGTCAATGTTGACATAGAAGGAAGCATTGAAGATCGCACAATCACGGATAGTTAAAGTCAGACAATAAAATTGGTCCAGACAGAGACTCAGTACATTGAAATTTTGAGCCATCCTTGGCAGTGGCCTCAAAGATTTCTGGGCAAGAGACAGTGATGCGAGCAATAATTACACCACAACAACACATTGTGTCCAAAGCCACGCCAACCGCATGCAGAGCACAGAGATCTTCGATGATGGTATTTGTGACTTCAGGATACTTTGCAAGGATGCCTGGTGGTGTTGCAGTCATCAAGGGAAGGTTGCCCTTTTGAACACGAGCAAGGACACTGGCATGCCATACTGGCTGTGTCCCACTTTGGTCAATCCACCTTCCTATAACTTGGGCAGAAATACCATGAAAGTGGGAGGGATCGACTCACTTAAGCTTGTGCTCAATCTCAATCAGTGACATTCCATAGCCAACATGAATGGCAGCTGTTTTGATGGTCAGCCATAAAAGAGGGCTCTGCCAGTTGACACGATGAGCCTCTGTGTCCTCCCGCTTGCGCTTCTGGCCTGAGGTGCATTTTTGCATGCTGCGAGCATGCCTTTGCAATTGACGGTATGGGCATGAAGCCTCAGCAATGGTGACTGCTAGCAGTTGGGGAGTATGATCATGAAGAACAGATTCTACGGTTGGTTTCTGATGACAGACCACATGAGACATAAAGCACGGCAATAGGAATGAAAGTTATGCTTACCTGCTTGGCATCTTTTTCATGGGCTCGCTGTTGTCTCTTATATTCAGCTGCCATTTCATGCTTTCAAGCAGCCTTCTCAAACACATTGAACTTTTCCTGGCAACGGGCCTGCTCCTGCTGATCCCGGTCCTTGAGCTCCCAAGTGGAAGGCTTCCAGGCAAGCTTTAAATGCTCATCACATGAAAACCGTCGAGAAAAAACTTGAACAGACCGGTGCTCAGATCTGCATTGGTGGCATGGAGGTTGAGTTTTGGTTTTTGCTGTGGATGATGTGTAGGCAGAGTTGGGGGGGATGGTGGCTGAGTTTCTTGTATCTCGACATCATCACTGTCTGAATATGAGCTGTCGTTTGGGTCATCATTGGGATCGGAGAGCTGCAACACATGAAGAGTGAGTCTCAGATTTGCATCACCGGGAATGAGATATCCATACCTCAAGGTGATCATAAACGATATTAAGAAATTCCTCCATATGGAGGGAAAAAGCTCTATTGTCAGTGAACAACAGATCTTGAAACAAGGCATGCTTGATAGTATTTAGAGCTGCAATACCACATGAGAATGAGTCGAGCTGTTCGCTGTGCTGGAGTGTGGTCGCCTGGTTGAATTTGGCAAAACCATGATAGCCCAGCCAACAATGTATGGCATCAATGTCTTCGTTAGGCCAACTCCAGCCAAGGGAGTTGGCATAGGAGATGCTTTGGTTTGTAGCATCAACCTCAATAGCAGCCCAATGAACATTGTCAATATTGATTGGAAGGAGGATACAATGAAGTGCACCCTCATGTAATGCAGAGCCAATGGTACGAAGGTGAACAAAAGCCTTGTCCGTCTCGTAGCTCTTCCACTGTTTATCACCAAGCCGAAGGACATCTGCAAAGTCGAGAGATTCGACTGAAACAGACTGGAGGTCTTCATCATCTGATGCTTGCATACGCTGGACCACTACAGCAATCATGCTGTCCAACACACAACCATGAATTAGACATGATCCTAACAGCGGTCGGAGCTCGGTGCTCCTCAGAATCTGTCTGAGCACCAAATCCCTTGAGAGGGGCATCCCATGGAAGGCTCTCTAAGACATCTAGAACCTCGTCAATAATTTCCAACTCTTGTCCGTCAGTAGGAACAACATCAAATCTGTTGTAGACCCAGTTGTGTGATGCGTGCCAATCATGCTGATTCTCAAGTGCATGTGACATAGCGACCCAGTATGACACAACCCACATTGGAAGCAGGTCATTGGGGAATGAAGGATGGATCACTGATTTATCTCCATCTCGAAATGCACCTCTAGCACGATTGCGAAGGGACGAGGCTGTTCAAAATGGTGGAACAGGTCATGAAACAAAGTCCATGGGCAACTGGAGCAAAGGGGACTGTTTGGAAAAAACAATTCTAGCAGCTGAAGCACTGTTTTCTAACACTGTAGGCAGGTTGATAAGCAGTAATGCAGCAATGGAAAGGCTGCCCGAAGGAGCAATTGAGAACTGTGCAGGCACAGATAACACATCCTGGAACTTAGCCTCTGAGGCAACATGAAGGTCAGGCATGGTGTGGAAAACTTGGACGGGAAATGTTTCAGACCATGTCCATCTTGTGGACTGAGCTATGGCTCACTCACCAAACATTGGAGGATCCACACTGACAAGACTTTACCATAACATAGCAAGAAGACATTGCCATGTTGCCAGATGGAAGTCAAATTCGAGATGAAGCTCTTGAGGTGAGCATCTCCAGCCACAGGTCATGAGGATCACTGCGGCCCTTAGCACTGCATGTATACAAGGGAATGTGTCTACCCCAACATTGGTCATCGAACCTAAGTGCAGTGTGTCACACATCACACCCCCCTGCAAACCTTCAAACCTAACATTCACTTGGTCACACCCAGATTGGGTCGAACCTAGGTGCATATCTCAACAGTATGTGAAACAAGAAGGGTGCTAGTCCTCTCTGCATATATGTGATAGAGAGGAGAGCCTTTTCTTCCTTGTTACTGACCTGAGATGAGCTGTCTTGAGAATGTTTCTCAGTGTGTGAAGAGACAGGGAATGTGATGGTGGAATTGATGTAATAGGTGAACCTGGACAGCATTATCAGCCTTTCCTGTAGTGATATGTTGAATAATAGCCCTCCTATCAGTAGAGGTGAGCTTGGATGGACACCCTTCACAGAAGTTTTCCTTGTCTGTGTGACTTTCTTTGATGAACTTGGCAACAGTGGACTTGGATACTCCAGTTCTAGAGGAAATTTGACAAGCAGAGAGGCCAGAATAGGAAAGAGAGAGGATATTATCCCTTTGAGCAGGGGGGGGGTGGCTTTCATGGTGAATATAACCATGACATATGGAAATTTTTGGTTTGTATAGTTAGATATGGTTTTAAAATGACATAATGACACCACTTTATAATTTATTTAATGGTGGCATGATTGTTATGGTGTCATAAATGATGATTTATATAGTTTTAATATGTGCTCAAAAAACTGTCCACATGAGTCATGATTTTGTAAGCCTTGTATCTCCACCATATCTCCTCTGATTCTCATGATGTGGTGCTCAATCCAAAGCCCTGAAGCAGCACTACAATATGGTATCAGCATGTCACTGAGGTCTTTATGTATCCTCACACAATATTGTAAATAGTAAAAAATGCAAAAACATGTGGACAGTTTTTTGAGCCACTGTATTAGCACACCATCTTGTTATATACATGTTTATGGCTTCATTACACTCATTTTTACATAGAATCAATACTTGTGTGGTGCTGCAGAGCCTTTACAACAAAATCTATGTGACCTGTGACACAATGTGTGGCTGTGGTGCTGTACCCAAATTAGGGTTTTGCTGATGAAGCAAGTAGGAAGAAGCACAATTAAAACTCATACAGATGATATGGCCCAGACACTGTAACAACTGTCAGGGCCTGACTTAAGAGCAACATGAAAGTTGTATCTGACAACTCACTATGTTGTCCACATCACCTTGCAGCAAAACCACTGCAGCCCATCACAAATGCTTCAATCCCTACATTCAACACCTTGCAAGACATGGGTACATCAAGAAACCCAAATACAACCACAGCACCTCTAGTGAGGAGACTTGCTATGTATATTGAGAATTGTGAGGTTCACCTAGAAGATGGGGGTAGTAAAAACTGCAGTGATGATAGTCATTTTTGGTGAACTGTGACTTAAAGCAATCACAAGTAGCAAGCATTCAGGACCAGAAAACATGTAGGCAAGGTAGAACAGGGGGGTGAAAGCATTCTATGACAGCTGCACTGCATGTGCCAATGATAATTTCTTGAATCCTTGAAGTGGTCAATGCAACCACAAGAATGTCACACATAACACATACAGTGATCTTTTGTGCTATTTGATCAGAAGGTATAAGGCCTGAAATCCACAAACAGAGGGCTTACTGGCCTCCAGTCAAGCCATTCAGCCATCACGTAGGGCATGAGGGATGCAAGCACAAGACTGTTTATAGCCACAATGATGGGACAGATGATGACAGTCTCAATGAAGTGTGAAACTGTGGGTGTAGCCATGTTGTTGAGGCCAGGTCCTCTGAGTGCTAGGATTTTATCTTCTCTACTGTTTGTGTGCTTGGTGGGACATGCCAGCTGGCAGGGCTGGATTTGAATAATCACATGGCAAGTGTACACAGAATACCATAAGATATTAAACAATGTCATTGCAGGACCATTGCAAGCCATTTTTCAGGACAACACTGATGGTTGAACATTGACAAATATTAGCAGAGCAATGTAAAACAAAATAGGATGATAATAGGCAGATCCACTGATAGGAAGAACAGACATTCTGTCTTCAAAATTTGCCAATAGGTTTAATGGTGACCCAAGGTCAGACACAACAGGTTGGGGTGCCAACCACCCATGGGCTCTAGGAACTGGAGTATGAGTATGTAATGTAGGCTGTGAAGGAAAGGGAGTGGTGGATGGGGAAAAGAAAATCCGAAAGGGCAGACTTCAGACCAGCGACCAGAGCTTGCTGGTGCCACAAAGCCATGGCTAGTTGCCATACAACCGAGTCCTTATTCTAACGTACCTCAGGGGTAGAATTCCAAAATTTGGTGTCGCAAGCCGTACATCAAAACTAGTAACTCTCAAAACGGCCCAAAAACTTTTTTCCGATATAGCGTGACGGAACTAAACACAACGTCATTATCCAAAACAGGATATGTGTGACACCTGCATGGTGCGTGACGCGTCCCCGACGCGCGTCGAGACTTATTGGCTGCCAAGTACTTAACTGTTTTAGCTTTACCATCTTAAAGACATCCACGAGCCATGGCAGAACGACCAGCAGCAGAGATTGCAGTCCCCTCAAAGGATCCAAAGGAGAAGAAGAAAGAAGAGGACAAGAAGCTAGACACCAAGGCGAATGGTGCGAAGGATGAGGAGGAGGAACTTGTGAGTGTTAATCACATTAGCGAAATCAACATTAGCTTGATTTATATTTGCTAGTCGGAAGAGGATGCACAGCTCAAATCTGAGCTGGAGATGCTCATTGAACGGTTAAAGGTACGTGCCACTGATGATCAAAGTAGAACAAGTAATTGAATTAGTAGCAGGAATTAAACACGGATCTCTACCGTCCTGCTCTTGAAACGCTCCGGACACTCATAAGAACATCTACGTCATCCATGACTTTCTGTTCCGAACCGCTCAAGTTTCTACGCCCACATTATCCCGGCTTGCAGGAGCTGTTCGAGACATGGCCCGTATCCGAAAACAAGGTGCGAGAAAAGCCTTTTTGTATGACAATGACTTATCACCATGCAGAGTCTATTCGCCGACATTCTCTCTGTTCTCGCTATGACATACTCCGACACTGAACCACGAGGGACCCTCCGCTATCGCCTTCTTTCTGCATCTCTCCTCCCTCCTACATCCAAAATTTCTGAACCCGGTTCTTGGGGGCATGAATACGTTCGTCATCTTGCTGCTGAACTAGGAGAGGAGTACACCATCCGTCAAGAGGGTGAAGAAGAAGGCAGTCCCCTTACCACCACCAGAGGCTTGATTCAGACGCGCCTAAATCAAAGCCTGCTCCGGTCCCTGGCACCATCGAAGACTTACACAATCTCGGCTTAGAATGCGCTACGTTTTTCCTGGGCCACAATGCCGAGCCAGACGCCGTTGACTTGTTCGTGGAGCTCGAGATTGTTGACCGAATAGCAAGTCTCGTAGACGCAAACACGTTCGGTCGTGTGTGTGCGTACATGGATCGGTATGTTTGCCTTCGCGTCCATATTCTCATGTCTCAAATCTCTTTTGTAGATGTGTCACACTCCTCCCTCCTCCTGACGATGTCACTTTCTTGCGCACAATACACAAGATCTACCTCCAATTCTCCAAATTCCCCGAAGCTCTCGGTGTCGCGATCCGCCTTAATGACGCTGCACTCATCCGACAAGACTTCAATGCCTCGGGCAACCCGTAAGTCGCGTCACATGCACATTGATACTCACTCATATTTGCTCAGGGTAATGAAGAAGCAGCTTGCTTTCCTTCTTGCACGTGCACAAATTCCCATCGAATGGCTGAAAGCGTCTGCTTCAGAAGACGCGGACGCAGAAGATGAATTCCCAGAAGACATCCTAGACTGCCTAAGCAACACACAGCTCAGTAGACACTTCAAGGAGTTCGGAAAAGAGGTGGGCGTTGCAGATCCGAAGAGCCTTGAAGATGTCTACAAGAGTCATCTTGAGACTACAAGTACGTTTCACTTTTTGAAGTTATGTCTGTCTTTCTGAACTATGATTAGGATCAGGGCTGTCTGCCAATGTCGATTCCGCTCGTGCTAACCTTGCAGGCACGTTTGTCAATGCGTTCGTCAACGCTGGCTTTGGTAATGACAAATTGATGGTGGAAGCCGAGGAAGGCAACAGCTGGGTTTACAAGAACAAAGACCACGGTGATTATCTTACCAGATCGTGAAGCCGGCACACTCACAACCTTTTTCTAGGCATGATGAGCGCTGCAGCCAGTCTTGGGCTCGGACTCCTCTGGGACACGGACGTTGGTCTCAGCCACATCGACAGGTATACATACTCCCCTGAAGAGTGGATCAAGGTATTGTTTACTCCGCGTCACCGTGTATCCCTATTAATTATTTAGGCTGGTGCATTTTTCGCTACAGGCCTGCTGAATGCAGGTGTACGCACGGAAGCAGACGCCGCCCTCGCGCTGCTAGCAGAACACGTAGAGAATCAATCCGTCCCACTCAAAACAGCTGCAATCATGGGGCTCGGCGTAGCATACGCAGGTTCGCACCGTGAGGACTTGCTCGCTCTTCTCCTTCCTGCGGTCGCAGACGACGGCGTGTCGATGGAGATCGCTGCACTCAGTGCACTCGCACTGGGATTCGTGTTCGTAGGCAGTGGTAACGGGGAGATTACGAGCACGATCTTGCAAACGCTGATGGAGAGAGATGATAAGGCTCTGGACGAGAAGTGGGGACGATTTATGGCCTTGGGGTTGGCGCTGCTTTACGTTGGTACGTTTTCATAAGTTTTTTTTTGAGGGGATGTGTTGAGTCAGAGTCGTAGGCTTGCAGGATGCTTCGGATGCCACGCTCGAGACGCTGAAGGCTATTCAGCACCCGATTTCGAGGCAGGCGCAGATTCTTGTGGAGGTGTGCTCCTTCGTTGCCACCGGGAACGTCCTGCGGGTACAGAGATTGCTGCACTTGTGTGGCGAGCACCTTGATGCCCTCAAGGAGAAGGAGCAAGCCGAGAGCGCGGAGGGGAAGAAGGATGAGCACAAGGATGAGAAGAAAGAGGACAAGAAACCCGATGATACATTCCAATCGTTCGCCGTTCTTGGTATTGCGATGATCGCCATGGGCGAGGACATCGGTGCTGAGATGTCCATGAGACAATTCAACCACTTGGTATATCTTTTTGGCAGAATAATGACCAGTCGTCTTGCTAACGAGTATCATTCTCAGATGCACTACGGCGATCCCATCATCCGCAAATCTGTTCCCCTTGCTCTCGGCCTCATCAGCGCCTCAAATCCACAGCTCCCCGTCCTCGACACGCTCTCGAAATATAGTCACGACCACGACCTCGCAGTCGCACTCAACGCTATCTTTGCAATGGGCCTTGTCGGCGCGGGCACGAACAATGCACGGCTCGCACAGATGCTCCGCCAGCTCGCGCGGGGTACTACTACAAGGAGCCTGACTGCTTGTTCATGGTGCGCATCGCGCAAGGTCTCGTGCACATGGGCAAGGGCACGATTGGGATCAATCCTTTCTTCTCGGATAGGAATATCATGAGTCGGCCGGCTATTGCGGGTTTACTGGCGACGATCATGGCGTTTACGGATGCTAAAGCCTGTGAGTCCTCTCGGTCTGATTCATGCAACGGATTCTGATAAGTGCATATAGTCGTGCTCGACAAGTACCATTGGATGTTGTACTTCCTCGTGACCGCCATGTATCCTCGCTTCCTCATCACGCTTGATGAGGACCTCGAGAGCAAGCCTGTCACTGTTCGTGTCGGTCAGGTGAGTTCACAGTTTTCTTTTCATGTCGCGTGTACTTTCCTTATTCGTGGCATAGGCTGTGGATGTCGTTGGCCAAGCTGGCAAACCACGCACGATATCAGGCTTCCAGACGCACCAGACGCCTGTACGACTGGGGACGACGGAGCGCGCGGAGTTGGCGACGGAAGAATTCATCCCATATGCGCATGTTCTAGAGGGCTTTGTCATATTACAGAAGAACCCTGGGTGGGAGAAGGAGGACACGATGCAGATGTAGGTATATTGCATGCTGTTGTACGTGAAAATTTGCAAAACAGGATAGGGTTTTACGATCAAAGACAACGTGAAACATGAAACGAAAAATATCTCCCAGTGGTCCTGGACACGCATAATGCCGCAACTCACATTCCTACTATACGCTGGGACCTCATACCACAGCCGTAACTCTCGACTTGCATTTGCACCTGTCTTAGACGGCGTATTCTCCGATGACAACAGTGTTACTTTGGTATCGGTAACGGAGTAGAAATGAGGGGCGTTGTGCACCATTGTGATGCAGGGTAATGTCATCTCGTCAAGTGGGTCAAGCGCGCTCGGATCAGGATTGTGCGCAGACTGCGAGATGAAGGAGATACGTGCCCAGCTCGATGATTGCACGCTGAAATTATAGTGGGTAGAGCCGAAAGAACTGCAGGCGCCTCAACGTTCAACGCTTGCAACAAGCTCGCAATCAGCTCGAAACGACCAAATACTCCAGGCAAAAATGCAAAACCTAGTCATGTACCGACTTTACATGAATGAAAACGAGTATACGTATGATGTATGCAGCGGTGTGCTTACTCCAGTAATTCCTCCCAGATTGGCATGGGCGGCAAGCCTCTTGCTTTTCTTCTTTCTGGGACGTCCCTGGATTACCTGGTGAGTTCGACTGGCACGATATCTAATGGTTGCCCCAGCTCCAACCAGCTTAGTCTGCGGTCACAACAGGGGAGGTGGGCCTTCACGGTCAATGCTATCCCTTCCGAGAGACATCTCAAACGCTAGTTCTGGGCTGTGTTTGGGTGGGGTAGACCTGTGAAAGGTCATAGTATGTGCACATCTGCCACCCGTCGCGATCGTTTGGTAGAGGGTCGCGCGTGTCACTCAATGCTCTGTGATGTGACGTCAGATCCACCTTCGAGCAATACCCCCCTTTTTTCACTACCTCACTTGAGATTGCACAGAACAACTTTCACAGTGTCAGCCAGCGACGTAACTTAATCCGAGATGAAGGAAATTTTCAGTGACCGATCATTCTCATTTCTCTAACATTTTGCCCCTAAAGAGAAAGAGAAACAGCCAATGTTACTCGTTTTGCAAACTCAAGCGGCAAATGGGTGACAATGAGCTGTGGCATATGACATAACCGTCAGTACTGCTATACACCACAACAATTCTTTCCCAGGGACTGAGGTGCCTTTAACCGCGACAGGCCTTGATCCCGCACTTACCACAACCGACCGGACGTGTGTGTTGACGCCAATGTCTCGGACAGCAAGTACTTTTCTCCAGTATCTCCACGATGCCACTACACCGGATAGTATGGCTGTTCGTGTGCCAGGATCGACGAATTCGCTCGTGAAGTTCTATTACCGTTGGCTTCGAAAATGGTTGGTATGGCGTGTTTTCACCACGCTATCCCATCGTTGATCTGTGATAACCGTAAAGTCGCGCAGATAAGCTTATGCTTGAAGGATGAATCAGACATGCTACTTTTCTGCAATTGAACAGACGCAGATGGGTCGCTCAAATGTCGAAGCACACATGATCGTAGGAGCCATTACGGCATAGCAGTTCAAGCGACAAGAGGGGCCTGTATTCACTTGATGCCATGAATATGCCTTGCATCACCATGGTTGAGGCGCCCCACCTTCTACTTGGTGCCGTCACCAAAGCGTTGAGCGATGCAGCCATTTCCTGTCGATATCCGTCAGATAGGACAGAGGTGTTGAAATGTGAGGCCTGTGAGGTCGCAAGTGACTACAATATTAATGAGGTATGGTCCAGGAGGCACCGCAATGCAGGGGCATTGCCTTGCAATATTATCTTGCATTCAAATCTCTTGCGAAAGCCACTGGGAGAAGTTTAGTGGTTAAAATCGACATTGTGTGATGATTTGGACGTACTACTGTAACCAAAACAGCTTGTGGTTGGAACTCTAATTCGATGATGACTCAGTACTCAGATCTGCATCTGATTCTTATCCGCGTCTGATGCGGCTGGCCGGCCATATCTAACAGGCTGGCTCTCTGGTCCCGTTCACTTTCATGATGCAAAAGCGGGGTAGATGCTTCCGCTACGCGCAACTTGTGGAATACATAATAGTTCAGCAAGTTTTAGCGACAAACATAAATGATATCACAGAAAGACATTCGAGTCAGCCACGTAACAATTGGGCCCAAAGGGAGGACTCTACAATTACATTGACAATGGGTAAGATCTGTCTCGAGAGCAAATGGTCATGGTGCTCACACACGAGTCGCGCTGAATGCCCTACAGGTGCAGGCCAGCGATCCAGAACGTTGACATCGATCTCGAGCGCAACTTTCTTGGTTTCGTTCTGTCCTTACAGTTAGATGGGAGACTATACTCGCAGTCTACTGCAGGGAGCTGTCACGAACTTCTCGGCGTCAACATTCTGAAGCACGTGTTGTTCATAGCCCCTAACCGACTTGCTGTGTATTATTGCTTAGCTCTGTCCGCTCACCTCAGACTCTTTCCAATTTCACTAGCTTTCTTGGAATCAATCTAGGTGCAACTTCCTCATGTCACAAGCATCAGGCACCAACAGCGTTAAGGATGAGCGCGCCTACAACGACTTGGCTGAGCAACCTTTCCCGGAGAGTGACGACGTAGGACATACAGATGAGTAAGTCGCGGTGTCCTGGAGTCTGCCTGCCATCTGACAGCAAGACAGGGACAAGACAAATTTGAACCTTCGGCGGAACTGCCATCGGGAATGTAAGTGTTTCTACTCTGATACTTTGTGTCGCTCCTCACCAGAACTGCAGCTTGAACACAGGGCTCCCCCAACCATCAAACCTGACATATAGCAAATCACTTCTAATGTTGCCACCAGACTGTGATTTAACTCCGTAAGTTTTATCGATGACGATGGCAAACAAGTTCTGAAATGTCTGAGTAAAACGAAAAGGTTGTGGCGGAGAGGACCAGCCAACT